TTTGATACAACCAATATTTATCGAGCTATGGTGTGATAAACAACGGCCCTCGCCGAGAGACCTTATATTTTGGATGTTGTATAATTTTTGCAATTTTTTTTTACATTCCTCGCATTTTGCCATTCCTTAAAGGTATTTCTACATTGTAGTCAGTTTATATCAAAATCGAAAAATAAAATAGTACTTAATTTTCGTTGAAATAGCTTGGAATGCCTCATATCCGAAATATTAATAACGCCACCAAGGACTATGCTGGTACTCGTATGTATATACTTTTCAACTGTCTTTAGAACGGCTATGGCTAAAAGTCTTCGTGGGTTTGTCACTCCTAGTAACTCCCATTTCCCCGCCTTTAGTAAACTTTGACGATAACCCGCGAAAAAAATACTCACAAAATCTTTGACCACTCCCTAGCTTCAATATCCACACAGATTTTGTAATTAAGTCATAGAATTGTTCTCACCTGGAAGACCACCTTTTCCTTCTCGAACTCCTCCATGCTGTTCACTTCGTTCACAATATTCTTCAAACTCTTATCGACAATATTCATCCACTCGACCATCTCCTTGAACTTCTCATGATAGCTGTCCCACTGTGCCGGTATTTGCTGCAGAGTCTCGCGCATATCACCAATTTTGCCCGACAATTGCTGCCACTGCAGCTTAGCGTTGTCATAGGCCTGACCGAGGCTGATGTCAGTCGGCTTTTGATAACCATAAGCTTGACTAATGCGATGCATATTCTGCAAGCTCTTCTCAATTTGCGGTATTGGTCCCTGCTGTCGGAAGAATTGCTCATTGCGATTGAGTATGGAGTCGATATCTTCGTTGCGATTCAAAGCTTGTTGCTCCAAATGCAATTCCTTTTCGACTTCTTGCAGCGTCTGATAGAAGGCCGATTCGTCAAGACGGAATTCGAGCTTCAACAAATGCTGTGGCGCTTGCGATAAGACGTGCTGCCACTTGGCTTGCAGCTGTTCGACCGTATCCACTACAGGCTTTTGCTCTTGCGCCGGCAGTGTTTTCAACAAGTCCTGCGCCGACTCCACCAGATTGTGCATCCAGCGCTCGTTGACGTTTTCGAAGAAGTACTTTTGTGTCTCGATTACGGTCTTCGATTCGATGTGTTTTTCGATAAGCATAGATTCGGCCTGCGTTAGCCATTCGCTGACGACGTGCTCATTCTCTTTGAAGGCGTTCCAACCGCGTGAGGCATTATTCAATCGCTGCTCCCACTGCTCAGCATTCTGTATGACATAGTTAAAGCGCTCGTTCAGCTGCTGCATGTTGTGCGCCGTTTGCGAGGTGTCGATATTGTCATCAGCGGCGACCGACTTCAGCAGATTCTGGAAAACCTTATTCTTGCTCTCCAACATCGAACGATAGTAGACGGTGCGCGAAAAGAAGGTCTTGTGTTTGTTCAACTCCTCACTTATGGCATCGCGTCCACCCGAGAGTGCGTGCGTGCTCAGCAGCGCCTCTGCATCGTTCAGCCATTGATGTATCTCTTTTTGGCCCGCCTCGAGCGACTCCTGCTGTATGAGCAGCTGGTGGAAGAGATGCAATTTTGCTGGTATTTGAGCGCGTATGCGCACCAAAGACTCCTTCTCCTGCTTGAGTAATTTCATCATTTTGTCGACCTCATCGCGCGGCAAGTCCTGGATAAGACCCTGGAAATTGCGGCTGACCGTCTTGAAGAGCTCCTCGTTGTCATCAATTTCGCTAGCTAGCTTTTGCAACTCTTCGCCATATTTGGTAATCTGTTGCGTGTTGCCGAGCATTTGACGCTGTTCGAGCACCTGCTCGGCATGGCGCAGCCATTGTGAGAGCTTCTCAATGCCGGATTTGTATTCGTTGCGTGCGCGTATGATGTCACCCGCATGCATGTATTGCTTGGTATTGGCAAAGAGGCGCTCGAAGCGCTCCGATAAATTGCCATGCTTCTGGCGCAGGTTGTGTGCGATGCCATCCTCGCACGAAGCGATCAAATAATTGGCTGCATTGGCGAGTGCATCGAATTTATCCTTCCATGTGGTTATGTCTTGGAAGAACTCCAAGCGTTCATCTTCGGTACGCGATAGTTTAGTTTCGGCCAAATTGAGCCACTCCTCACAAGTGGGCGCCAACCGGTTCCAGGTCTGCCAACAGCTCACAACCTCTTCCAGCGAGTTCTGGCAGCACTTAAGCTCCATAGATACACGCTTCCAACGCTCCTCGGTCTCGTACATGAAGCGATCGATTTCCGTTATGTCTTTGCGCGGTACATTGCCGTCACGCTTGTATTCGTCCACCACTTGTTGCATGTCGACGAATGCCTTCTGGAACTCTTGGAAAATTTTATTGCGCGATACGAAATTCTTGTATTGCTCCAATTGCTGGCTGACCTTCTCCTCATAGCCATACTTGCCAGTCCAACCCTTCATTTTGTTCTGAACCAAATTGAGGAAAGCAATGAGACAGCACTTATGTTCCAGGAACTTTAAACGTATTCTACGTTCGGCCGCCTTGGGTGCCACCTCTTGCAGACGGCGTTCCAGGTTGCGCAATTGCTCTAGCGGCACTTGTTGCACCAATGGCGAACGCTTGGCATTCTCAAACATTGCCATTATACGTGGCAAATCGGCAAAGAATAATTTATGCTCCTCCAGCTTTCTACTTATCACCGATGCTGTCTCCTCATTCATGGTACTTGGTATCTCATTGTCCATTAGTAGTTTTTCAGCGTCCGCTAGCCACTTGCCGACCACACCGAATTCGCCTGGCAACTCTGAATCCAACAACCACAGCCAATAGTTCATTTGATATTGCAAACGTTGCCACAATGCATTTATGTCCTCCCACACCGGGCGCGGCACTTGTAGGAAGCCGCTCTGACTCTCCATCAGTTGCTTGAGGCGATTGTAGACCGGCAAGTGGGCGTCAATCTCCGAACGTGCGATCAGATATTCAGCGAAATCACGCGGGAATGAATTCGACATGACCATGGGCTCATATTCTGTGGTCTTTTCTATCAGGAAACGGCGTAGTTCGTCCAATTCCTGTTGTATGTGTGATGTATCACGTGAGGCACCCTGCAATAATTGAAATCGAGGGAGAGAAATCGAGAGTGTGTGTTAGAGTAATTAAAAGTAGAGAGACTCAGAGTGTTTGTATGCAAATTACTACTCTACTACTCACTTTTGGTTCAGGGTACTTGTGCAAAAATTGCGCCACATATGTCATTATACTCTTCTCATCCGGTTTTGGTACATCCACATCCTCAGCATCCAACAATTTGGCAATGCCCAGCTTACTTTCAGCCACATCGAAAGCAGTTTCTAGACGTTGACGATTGTTGGCCTTTTTCAAGTCAGCCAAATTAACCAAATTCGCTTTGATTGCATCGATAAGGGCTAGGAAGGCGACACCATCTCTCCAACTGGCGCCGAAATCCTTTACTTCAATGCCGATGTCTCTGTGGAGAGTAAAAAAAAATGGTAAATGTAAATGAGATAATTTGCGAAAGTGTTTGTATATAAAACTTACTTTGGCAAGGCATTGGTAACCCAATTCAGCAGTGTCTTCCTAGCACCTTGCTTCCATTTCTCAGCTTTTTGATCGCTGACAGTTTTGCCAACGCTATCGAGAGAACTTACCGAACCGCTAATACCATGACCCAAATATTCAAGGTTGCGGCTATTCTCCTCAATCTGGTTAGGGGCGAAAAAAAAGAAAATAATATATTAAGTAGAAGAACTTGCATAAAGATTTGAGAAAAAAATTAAATAAAATAACAAAATATTTGAAATTAATTAAATCAACTTAGTTTAACACAGAGATTAAATGTAATCTAAAGAAAATACTAAAATATAGGTTCGAAATCCATCCTATGCATATAAAAATGTGTACGTATTTAAAAGTGATGGATGGAATACATATTTATTTATAACACAGTGCAACAGCATTTTTGGGGGCGGAATGATTACAGCTCAAGATGTAAAACCTAGACTCGTATAGCAAAACCTCCAAGTCTTTTTGAATTCTCAGAAAAAATTTTCTCTTTATGGTCATATTAAATTTGCAGTTTTTTGCCTGAGTATTTTTAGAATAGGTAGGAGAAAAAAGGGTTAAAACTTATATTGGTGCGAAATATGTAGTTGGGGCACGTATAGTAAAATTTCACGAGGAATAATTTTCTAGAACACTTTAGCCCATCAGCTCTCTCACGAAAGGCTCGTTTCGACCTGTTTTTTTAGAAAGTCTCAATAAAATGGCATTTATGAGGTCGCTAAAGTGTTAAAATGTTCTAGAAAATTATTACCCGCAAAATTTCACTTGGGGTATTCTTAGACGAAATCTTTATACAAAGAACATGAAAGTGCACAGAAAAAAAAAACAAATAGGTTCTCTTGAAATATGCAACAACTTTTTTATGCTATCCAATACTAATTCCAAAAACAAAACCTTGTTTTGAGGTGCTCCCGAGTTGAGGACCAACCAAAAGTTAACGAACCCAGTCGCACTACTGCCCGATCTGCGGGGATATCTTTAATCCGCCAGGTAACTGGGTTCTGATTGCGGAATGCTAAAAGGATGGTAAAGGAACACAATAGGGTGGCATATACGGACAACACTACAAGCCAAATACGCAGTGGATACATAACCTGTGGTCGGGGTTACCACGTCTAGTATAATACAAGTCAAATTTCGCTTTAAAAAAACGGCACTAATTCGCTCCCAGTAGGGATATTTCCCTATTCAAAGCTCACTCGGTTCTTCCCTGCCGTCGACCTACGAGTATGGCCGCAGCCTACGCGCCGGTCCGCAAAACGATCGTGCCTCAGTGCCGGTGTTGCTAGTGCTTTTGAGTTCGCCGCCGCTGCTCACACAAACAAGCACCATGGACTTTTCCTTTGCCATTAAACAGCGGACAACAAAAGTGCCTATTTCTTCAATAAAGGTCGTTATCGTTCTGGCACAAACACCCCTAGTGGAGACTTTTCTCCAAGATACTAGCGCATAAAACTAGTTTTCGGTAGAGCTCGCTACTATCGGTTGGAGTGAAGGAAATAAGGGCAGAACGAAGGGAAAAGAAAACTTTGTTGCGACCAGTACCCGATCAGGGTTTTAATCAAATAAAGAAAAAACCTAAGTGAAACTTCCTTCGAATCATTTCTAGTTCATTTAACACTACAGACATTTATGCTACTCTTTACTTTTCGCCTTGGTCTTTGTAGTTGTTTTCGTCTTCATCTTCATCTTAGTACATAGTCTCCTTTGTATTCGTATTTGACTTCATTTTTGTATTCGTCTTCGTATTCACCTTCGCCCACGTCTTCGTATTCGTCGCCATATTTGTCTTTGGCTCGGTAATGGTCTTTGGATTCGTCTACGGCTTAGTGGGAAAGTGGATGCACTTCTGTTGCATCGCAAATTCACACATTTCCGTGAAGATTTTTTAATTCACTACCGCCGCTAAAGAAATTTCACTTCAAAAATTTATGTCAATTAAAAATGGGGCGCTATCTGTGGGTAATATTCGTCTTATACCACCATATTATCGATATCTCTACTCATGCAGTCTCGCGAATATGCTCGACACTCCCCAAGGTATCGCCGAAAAGCACCCGATTGCACTTAGTACTCATAAGTTCTCAGAGAGACGTATACTGGCACGGAAAGCATGCCTAATTCGGTATTGGATTTAAGGATGTGGAGAGACTGCGTCACTTAGTATTGTCGATAAAGCAGGCAAACGAGTTTCTCGCCACAATCCGCATATCGCTCATTTACGCCCATACCACAAAGGAGGAAAAGAGTATGAAAACGCAGATCACTTTTACGAGAGCACCAATCATGGTTGGCGATTTCAAAGTCTGGGTGGAAAAAGTAGATATCATTGATGCAATCGTCTAAAAATATAGATGCAACCATGAGCTGTCTGATATCGGACTTAGGCTGTGGCCCGAAACATTGTATTATACATTACTAGGCCCCAGCATAAAAGGATAGATCAGACTTCAATACTTTAGCCAGGTTGAAAAACGAGAAACCAAGTCCAAGATATTTTGACAGACGGAAGGCACTCTTCGTTGTTTTAGATGTACATACGAACCTTTTGAGGACTAAACATTGACTCCTGTTGCAGACAAGATGCGCACTCGTCTTTGTGCATCAAAAATTATGCGCCCTGCAACTGAAGAAAATTTGCTGGTTCTTATCCACTCGAATATCCTACCTGCTCTCTGAGAGCACAGGAAATAGTACGATTTCAGCCAGCCGGAAAGAGCAATTGGTACGACGAGGAACCATGCGCCGCTGCAGAGAAAAAATATGTCGCTTACAGTGCGACACTGTACGCTGAAGTGGTGAAGATTATTTTCCGTACAAAAAAATAAAAAGCCTGTTCAAAAAAACACCCGAAAATTTTATCAAAATAACACGCGATTTACGGAGGGTTTCAGGACAGAACGAATTCTTGTAAGAACTACCATCACGATGTAGCGACCACCGAAATCCTAAACCTACTTTCAATTACGAGGAGAACACTTTTCGACCTTATTGAATGTTTACAGCCTGAAACCAGTGAAGAAGGTGAGCCCGAGCCTACAGTCGAGGACGACGTGAACAATGTCACACCGCCCGACTCTGACGAGGTACAAATAGCTTTTCGCGGCTGAAAAATTGAATTTAGTATCCCACGAAGTAAAATGGCATTGAACAAATGACAGATTTAAGAAGGGCATATCCAACCCTTTCGTTGCCAAACGAAGTTCAGACAGGGCAGCCTGCAGAAGATAAGGACTGCAGAACTAAATCGCTCGAGGGCATTTTTTACGTACCTACAACTGCGCCGTTTTATTCAGCCTTTTCCAAGTTGTATGTGCAAGCAAATCGTAAGGATCGGGAGGAAAATGGGCACAAGACAAATCACCTCCTGCGTCAAGACTCCTGACTTCAAACAAACACTCACTGCACTGTTAACGGCTATAATTTCGAAATAATAAAGGAATCTTAGGATCTTAAAATCCAATAGAGAATCACTCTTGCCCTCTAAACTAAGTAGGCAATTTAGAAGTAAAATCCGCTCTCGTCGTACAGAAACTAGACACTATAAATCACACATGATACTCGTCCTGGTAAATGGTTCAGATGCTTTGACAATGACAACATCCTATTCACATTATTGCAATTTAACCATTGCCTATTACAGAGGAAGATCTTCAGCTGCCGCGCGAGACAACCGTTTTCCTGGGACATTACAGTAGGTTAAACTTCAACTTACCCAGACTATGAAGGTCCCCGTATTTAAATCGAATATCCTACACGTGAAGGTTTACATAATACTAATCACATCTTCACTTGCCCCCATAAACCCACTCAGTTCAAACCTTTCTCTCTTTGATACGACCACATCCAAACAAGAATCGAAACAAAAGGTTTCTTGGGCCTGCCGTTAGTTGAACTTGATTTGAAAACCATTAGTGGATCTAGGCAGGGTTAAGTAGCCATTAGAACAACAAAAAGATCAGGCTGCCCCCGCAGTATGCAAGATTCTGTTAAACTCGGAATGCCATGCATTGTGACCGCGAATGCTTTCTAGACAAGGAACGCCGCCCTGCTGTCAGAGTGTAGTATTTGTGTAGATTTGCTGGTCGGTTGCCCAGCTTTCTTCATGCTGTCTAAGGCATGGTACCATTGCACGAACCACAGCTTGAAAGCAAAGAGGAACAATTTACATGGTACGAAGAAATTAGCTCAGTAAGTGGAAGACCTGCTTGGTACGCTTGGGTGTAAGTCTGATAAAGAGATGTGGCGATCTCCAAATTCGCAACCTATTGTGGTGTTTTTTTCATTAGAAAAAACATCATAAAAGGGACCTCAACCTCAAATTTAGTTATGGCTTAAGAGACATTAGTAAAATTTATCGAGCTATTTTTTCGTAAAGCATTTTAACCCCATAATTCCTAGCATAATGGGTCTTTTTGATGCATAAATAAGTATCTTCAAAAATTTCAATGTAAAATCACTGAAAACGGCAGTTAGAGGTTTAAAATATTCTGCGAAAATCTTAAAAAAAATATGCTTAAATATGCTCGAACACGTAAGAACTTAAATATTATTTTTGAAAAAATAAATTGCGTAGAAATAATGCACTAAACCTTACGTATAACTGTGTGAAATGTGCGCTATATCTGACTTGGTACTATTATAAATATATGTATTATATATGTATGTATGTACATTAGACCGTACCTGAGTCTAATGAAAAATTGCAAGGAAATTTGGAAAAAAGTAAAACAATTTTTTTGCCGATCATAGCGGTCACCTTTCTACATATATTTTTCGTCATATCTTCGACATTTACAATTGGATCTTAAAGTATTTTATATGGATGTTTTTGTCTCGAGAATACAAGCTGTTTGTTCCAAAGTTCTTTGATCTCAGATCACAGTTCATGTTACCCTAACGTACCACCCAGTCACTAAATTAAAGCTCTCCAAAAATCATTAAACTTTTGATAAGGAACTATTTAAAACCAAAAATGTGTTGCCATTGCAAAATTTTTTGGTTCGTCAAAAAAAATAAAAGTTCCAAATTTCCTTGCAAAAATACCTAAGACTCAGTGGTTTACGGTGAACTTTCTTTTGTTTTCTTGTAAGGTGGTACGCTCTAATGTAGGTACATATGTATGTATGTATATGTATACTTGAATAAAGGCAAAATTTAAAAACACCAAAATCGATTAATTTGCGTATTATTACCAATAGATGCATAATTATTTACAACACTCATCAACTACAAACCTACCTGTGGCGCATAATTTATTACTACAACTACTTTTTTCCGTCTCTTCTTATGAAGCTTGTTTTTAGCAAAAAAAATTAATTAAATAGTTCAAAAATCAAAACGTTTCAAAAAGAGAGACAAAGAGATAAAAAGGAAATACACACAAATGTTTACTTTTTACACTGTTATTACTTTTAAGTATACTGTTATTTAGCTTAAAGTGTTAATATTTATGTAATTGTGAAAGTACATTTAATGTGCAGTAATTTTGCAATATTTAGGAAAGGGATAGGGAGAGCGATAGGGAAAAGTAAAGGGTATATTTACAGCGTCACGAAGATTCCATTAAAGCAACATGAACTAGCTTTCAAACGGTTTCGTAAAAAGCGACTGAAAAGTTTTAAACCGCCCTAAGCCTTAAAATAAAACACAGAATAAAATTTTTCATTTTGTAACGCATTGGAATACAGGGTTCTATACCAAAACCTTGGAGGCTGGTTAATATCGATTGTATACCGAAGCATGGTAAGGATGACTATACAAGCGTCAGAAGCTACAGCCCTATTAGCATGACATCCTTCATGCTTCCTAAAATGTCTGGAAAGATTGGTAGAGTTGCGCATTCGTAGGGAGGCGCTCTCATCACATTCTCTCTCTTTGCCTCAACATGCCTATCAGGCAGGGAAATCCCAGAACTGCCAGAACCAACAATGCCATCAATAGGAAAGAGTTCGCCTTGGGCATTTTTGTAGACATAGAGGGTGTTTTGACAGTGTCACCTTCGATAGCATGTGTAATTCTGCTCTACGGCATGGAGTAGATTCTGTACTGGTAAATTAGATTCGTTCAATGCTGCCGCTACCTTCAGGGTGGTGTACTTTCCCCTTTACACCGGCGCTTGGTAATTGATTCTCTTCTTGTCACTTTTAATGTCTCTGATATCTACGCTCAAGCTTATGCGGACGATGTTGTTTGTCTAGTCACTGGCCCATCTCTGCCGGCTGTTTGCAGGAAAGCACAGACAATACTGAATATCATTGGAACTTGGTGTTATAGAAATGGGTTCACCGCTATCCTAACCAAAACTAGTGTTGTGCTCTTCACTAGAAGGAGCAGGTTGGATGGTCTCATTCCCCTCGCACTTAAAGGAGTCGCAATTCAGACTTCTCTCAAAGTGAAGTATCTAGGTGTTATTCTGAATACAAAACTATCGTGAAAATCTCACGTGAAGATGTCCAAAGCATTGCCGGCATTTTGGCAATGTAAACAGGCCTTTGGCAAAACGTGGGGCTTATCGCCATATGGAATCCTCTGGATCTATACCTCTATGATCAGACCCATGAGCTATGCGTCAGTCGTATGGTGGAGCAGACTTTCAATCAATACCGTGGAAAATCTTCTTGCTAAACTTCAAAGGATGATTGCCATGTGCCACAAGGAAGATTTCTTTATAACACCTGGTGCTTCTCTTGATGCACTGCTGCTCTTACTGTCACTTTGTGCTTTCATACGTAGGAAAGCCTTAAAGGCCACCTGCAGACCAAAATGAAACGGATAATGGTATAACACTGAATGGGGCGAGGCTGAAGTTGCTGGTGGCAGAGATCTGAGCACTTGTGCCTTTTTAATGCTGCAGGATAGAACGTCACCATTACCTTTGTTGAAGAGATTCTATAATGTTGAGTGCCCTGAGGCTGAATGCTGGTTTAATTCCAGCGCTGAGCCCGAATCCACACACTGTCGAATATTTACGGATGGCTCCAAAACTGACTCTGGGTCAGGCTCTCGGGTCTTCATCGAAGTTAATGGGGATAAGCTTCACTTTTTCTTGGACAGTATGTTTCGGTCTTTCAAGCTGAGATATTTGCAATCATCAAGGCCATGGACTACTTGGTGGAAAGGAGTTTACGTGTCTGCAATGAAGGGCTACCTGCACTTAAGGCATTGGCCAGCCCTCTAACTACTTCCAAACTAGTTCGGCAATGCAAGTCTCAACTAAATTATGTTTCTAGACATAACAAGCTTTTTTCACTCTGGGTGCCAGGTCACCACTTGACCAGCGTTGGCTCAGACCAATCATCCCTCGGTCCGCAACCCGTTATAGCACGGCATCTTCGGCTATCGAAACCACCATCAGAAACTGGGTGAATACTTCGCTCAGCAATGACTGGGAGACATCAAGGTGCTGCAGATGGGCAAACCTCATGTTGCCTTCAATTTCGAAAGGTCTACCTAGTTTTTTGCTCTCATTGAGCAGACAGGACTGCTAGGATCGTTAATTGCTTTTTCGGGACCAGAACCATTCTATTGTCTCAGGTGTTCCTCTTCGAGAGCTATAATTACTGATTGGGTGCACTCTGAAAGCAGTAAGTACTGGGAAGCAGTGGTGGGTCTTAGACAGGCCAGGCTCTTCGGCTACCCCTTCAACAGAAACGGCATTGTTTTAGTAAATAGAAATGACATCAGGCTACTTTCTGGGTACCTGACCGGTCACAATCAATTGTGATTCCACTTGCACCGAATAGGTGTGATCACAGAGTCGGAAGCCGGCTCTGCCCCGATTATGATGAAACTTCGAAGCATATTCTCTGTCACCGTCCGTCTTTAGTCCGACAAAGACCGATTTATTTTAAATCTTCAATAGTCGAACCCTTTGTTATAAGGAATTCGCCTACCAAGCCCCTTTTAGGATTCATTAGGGAAGCCGAAGGTATCTTGGCCACACTAGGTTGGGGACTCTCTCTTTAAGAGATACAAAATATATTTTAGGTCGCGGTGTCTCTTGTTCTGTTACATCCAAAAATTAACTAATTAACTGTCTTAATCAATCGATTTCGGAAATAAAATCTCTAATAGCACAAGCGCCTACACTTGCTCCTGATATTAAAATGATAAAAGATACAGTGGTGGGAGTGGGTACTAGATTAAGAATGGATTTTTAGGATCTTCTTAAGAAATTTGAGGAGAGTTTATTACGGATTTTTTTTTAAGTACATACTTAAAAAGGGTGTTTATGGTGCACTTACAGGGTGCCTTACAAATGTATTCATACTTAAATAAATTTTTTACATGTTAGAGTAATTATGTATATTTTTCCTATTTATTTAGATTAAATGTAATTGTGCTTATGTTTTTTTTTTGTTTGCTTAAAAGACTTCAACTTACCTGGAAGTACAATATGATGGTCCATATCAGACCCAGCACAACTGGTGGTCTCCCATCCACCAAATCTGCCGGATTAATATTCACCAATTTGATACGTTTGCTGGCTAAAAATTGTAAGGCTGTATTGGCATTGCTGAGGAAATGCGGACGTCGTAGAACGCGACCCTTCTCCACGGGCAAACGTTCGCCGGATAGCACTTCCAAGAGTGCAATAAGTTTGGTACCATCGCGTAAATCGTTGATTAAATCGTCAACACGAAGCGGTGGAACACGCTACAAAGAAATAGAGAAAAGTGTAGAAAAAACGATTAATAAATAGGTGAGTAGAGGAACATAACAATTAGCAAATAGCGGCATTTTAATGCAGTCAACAGTAATTATGAAATGAAAAAAAATATATATATGCAAAAGTATGCATGTATTATGCTCATGTATGTGAGTAAGAAGTCGCGACTGTTTAGCAAAAACTTTTGCTAGCCAGTATTTAACGGCATTCTTTCACCAAACTTAGCGAAATAACAATAAAAGAGTTGTCGTGACTTGCTTAAATGAAAAGCATAAATCACAAATGCCTACATACTACATATGCACATAATTACGAAAAGTGCTGTAAAAGTATGTAACTTGCTGAGCAAATTTGCCTATGCATGCAAATTGCTGAACGGAAGCGGCATTCTTAGGAAATGATGAAAACGCATTGCGAACAGTGCAACAGCAAAAAGTTGCTAAAGTGTTGACAAATTTGAATCGAAGCTCACGGAAAATATGTTTGTTCTTAGTATAATTGCAGTTTGATTTCAGTTCAACAACTGAAAGAAATATATGTACAATTCACATTCCGCCTCGCTTGAATAACCACAGTTTTTCTTCAAGGATTGAGCTTAACAGCGCCATTTTTTTGCAACTGTCTTTCAAGTGCGACTGTCTTGAAAGCTCTGCCCTGTCTTTCGAAAGACTAATTGAAAGATCTGCTAAAGTACGTTACTCTGTTTGTCTTATAGCAATAAGTTTTTTAAAAATTGAATTTAATAAAAAAATATGTTTTCCTTTTTAAAACAACAAAAAAAGAAAGATTAAAATATTTCATTTAAAACAGAAAAAATTTAAATACAAAGAAAAAAAATAAATTTTTAGAAATTAATTTCTAGAATCTAATTTAAAAATATATTTTTAAACAATAGGTATAATCTAACAATTAAAAAAATTTTATAAAAAGAAGAACAAAACTTAAATGAAATTAAAAAGTTAATGAAATTAAGCAAAAAATAATTTTGTTTCTTTTCAAAACAATAAAATCTTAAAAAATTATTGAAAACAATAAGGAAGGAAAATAAATACAAAAAAAAAAAAAAAAATTAAATTCAAAATATAAAAGTATTCAATTTAAAAAAATACATAAAACAAGTTTCTAAAATTAAATTAAATTAAAATAAATTTTTCCTTTTAAAGCAATAAAATCTAAAATTACATTACAAAATAAAAAAAATAATAAATAACGTTGGATCTCAAGAATGGTACGCCCATGCTTTTCTCACTCGGTCATTGCGACTGTTGGAGCAGCGTAAGCAAAATGATACATTTGAAACATGCTCAGAAATTTAAAAAATTTATCGAAAAAGAAAAAAAATTAATTAAATAAAGAAAAAAATAAAATAACTTTCTTAAAATTAAATTAAATTAAAAAATAGCTTTCTTTTTAAAACAATAAATTAGTAGACTTAAAAGAAAACTTAATTTAAAAAAATAAATATTATAAAAATATTTTCCTTTTTAAAACAATAAAATCTACCATCTAGAGGGAAACTGAATGAAAAAAGAAACAAATTTTATTGCAAAATAGAAAAAAATTTAATTAAAAAAATACAAGAAATAAGTCTCTAAAAATTAAATTAAAAAAAGAGTTTTTCAATCAAATAAAAATATAATAAAAATATTACCCAAAATTACATTAAAAAGAAAAAAAAAATTTGGAGAGCGTGAGTAAAATGATATACATAAATGTCCATTTGGAACATTCTCAAAAATTGAAAAAAAATAATAGTAATTAAAAAAGAAAAAATGTTATTAAAAAAATAAAATAATTAAATGCAATAAAAAAAATCTTTTTCAACATTTTAAACTTAAAAGAAAATTTAATTAAAAAAACAAAAGTTTCCAAAAATTAAAGAAATTTAATTGAAAAAAGAAACAAATTTAATTTAAAAAGATACATGAAATAAGTTTCTAAAAATTAAACGAGCCGAAAAGATACTATTCTTTAAAAAAAAATCAAATCTAAAACTACATAAAAAGCTGTTATGCAAAAAAAATCCGCTGCTTCTCGGAAGGCACGGCATCACGTCTGAAATTTCGTAGTGCTTGCAAGTAGAAAATTCTGGTTTTCTCGGGCGGGGAAGTTTAGGGTGCGGTTCCAATGGAAAACTGTTTGTAATTGACTTGCCAAGTTTGCAAGCCAACAGAAGTCCGAAGATAGCTGGCATGCTGACCCCCGGCCTAGGCGAGCTATTAAGGAAGTAGCTTCATTCCAAATCCTTGGAGGTGGGTCAAAGTTCCCTTCGTACCCAAGGAAGGATTAATAATTCTCTCTTTGTTTCTCTTAAAGTCACTTGTAGAGAAGCAGGATTCACAGGTTTTCTTTGACATTAAATAAGCACGCCTACTCTAAGGGCAGATTAATAGAATCACCACAACACACAGTGTTAGAGGTTCTTGAGCAATACGCAGAAGCAATATGCGGTCGTTGCGAACTGAGATCGAGAAAGCAGGCTTTCATTAACATCCTACCTGAAGCAATTATAAACTCTCTAAATAAACTAAACTTCGATCACCCCTACTTTGTGTTTGTTGTCGTCAACGATCTGGTATTTGCAATTGATACGGAGTTTGAGACTTCCAGAATTGGGAACTTCTGGAGGCTCATCAGAAGTGTTTGCGTTCGAATTTTCCGTGGAAAATTTAAAGTCCTTGGTTGAGAATCTATAAGAAAAGTCCATAAAACCCAAAACTAAAATTTGTTTTTTGCAGCTAGCAATGTGTTAATTGGTTTTCGTAAGTTAATTTTTCAACCAAATTGTTTGGGGGTTTAATTTAATGATTATATAATGGGACTACTTTTCCCTTGTAGGCCAATATTTTGTCTTTTTATTATTCATCATTATTTTTCCATATTTTTATCTTATTCCTATCGAGGGATTTACGATTTTGTCCATCGACACACCCAAATCGTACACTGTGTGCCGTATAGGCCTCCTCAAATATTTTCAATTCAGGAATTTACATTGAGACTAAGCTCGGCTGCTAAGAGAAATACGCTTGAACTTATGTGGATGCCAGGGTATGGTAGTCTTCAAAATAATACATGCTTTCCAAATGAGAAAAAGGTTGATAGCAACCGGCAAAATGGATTAATTCTCTAAGCAATCGCCTAAAATTTGATGTAAACTTAATATTTTTCGTCCAACCGCAGAGCACATTGTTGAAGTAATTAGGTACAGTTAGATCTTGCAGAATTATTAATCAGCTTTGTATAAATTATTAATTTTCTCATACCGGTATTTCGAAATCTGATACAAAGGCATGGCACGCGTGCCTGTGAAGTGACCAACTGTGAGCTTAACTCATAATATTTTTTTAGTGTAATCTCGACTTCATGCTTTTGAATCCACCTTTCGGACAAACGAAAAAAATTTATGCTACACAAACTTTTATAACACCGGCATTCATTGAAGCTGAGTTGAAGTGCATAAATCATCAGAAAAACAAAAAAACAGAAAACAAGACTTAACCCGTCTGCGACAAACAGCGGCTCGACGCGTTCACCTTGAACTCGCACATAAACAAACTATAAAAAAGTTAAAAGAAGATACAGAGTTTTTTTAAGTTTATTGTTAAGCAATGTAAACGCATTTCGGGCAGTGTGTGTGTGTGTGTGCACAAACGAGCTTTGGAGCACAAGTTTGTTTAAAATTTTCATCAAAATTGGGTAGGGTAGCTGATGATCAAGCACAAAAAAAAATGGTTTTGCCATATCAAATTCATCTCCAACTCGAACGTATTGAAATGTACGTATGTATGTGTGCATATAGTAGATCACATTCAACTAGGGCTGTGCGATTAATTGATTATTCAAAATTTTAATTAATCATAAAGTAAATAACTCAATTATTCGATTAATCGGAAATTATGATTACTCAAAAGTTCAGTTACTCGAGTAATCAAGATTTTGATTAACCAAAAACAAAAATATTTGAGTAATTTGCTTTATGATTAATCAACATTATGAATAAAATGAGTAATCAACATTTCAAAGTACTCTTTACATACATACATATAAAGCAGTTGAAGTTCCTTGATACTTTGAAAAAAACGTATCTGTTTTCAAAAATTAAAATGAAATACATACATACATACATATTTTTTTCATATACAGAATATAAAAAAGAAAATAAGCATTTTCCAAAGCAACCTCTTTTAACGAGCAAAATTAATTTTTTTTGAGTAATCATATTTCAAGTAACTCGATTAATCATCGTTTTGAGTAATCAAAATCTTGATTACTCGAGTAATTGATTAACCGAATAACTGATTAACCAACTTGCTCGAGTAATCGAATAATCGCACAGCCCTACATTCAACAGATTGTCTTCTGACGTTGGTTGTTTGCTGTGCACTACTAAATAAATGGTGCCTTTGAGTTTGTTGAGTGTCAATTAGTGGACAAAATTTGCATTTGAAAACTTAAGTAAAGTATGTAAATTTATTTGTTAAACACTTTATGTTATATACATGCATATATAGTACATATATCTGTGGTCATAAGCAATAACCGCCTAAGTCGAAAAACAGGAATTCGGAAAAAACGTTTCAAACATTATTACAATATTTTCGTCTATAACTTTTTAAATATCCTAGCTTGCTACCAATTCTGCAGGGTTGGAAATTGTGTCATTTGTCAGAAAATCGAAGTTGGCACTACTCTGAACAGCGTGGCCAAATTTCTAGTGTAAGAGTACATTCTCCAAAACAAGCTTTTCCGACTTTCGTCTATAGCTGAATTGTATAGCTGAAAGCCTTAAAAGTAATTTTTGAGCAAAAAACAAAACCGACTTCAAATCTCATATAAAAATTTAGGAGTATCGTTAATTTTTTCATGATCCAATGATCGGATCTAAAACAAATTAGTATGGGACCACCTCTAAGACACCACCTTTCCGATTCAAAAAGAATCGGTTGACGTGGTCCAAAGTTATGCGGTAAGACACATAAACGAAAAA